AAAAAAAAAAAAAAAAAAAAAAAAAAAAAAAAAAACCCAAAATGATCCAAGCAGGAGAGCCAATCTCTTGCATGCGGGGGGATGATCTGAGATGGGGACCCCCTTACTCCAGAAGGGCTGCACACAGCTCCTAGCAGGGGAGGTCTTCTCTGTGCCTAGGGAAAACTGCCCACCTAAGGGGACAGACATCAGTTCATCCAGAACTCCTGTGCAGAAATATAACTGGCAGGAAAAAAGCAAAGTAATGGATCTCTCAATGGGTTTATTATCTCCAAGAAATCAAAGACAGTAGAGGTAATTGAATGCTCAAGAAAAGAGACCCTGAGAAGATTCCTGCAGTGAAAAACATTCATTGCAAATGAACAGTAGAGAATCCAGCCCACCCCCATGTACAAAATGCCCCATAATCTTTTCTTCTAGAGTTTGCCTGAATTGCTGTATTTTCTGGGTATTAAAATTGATGCCTAGAAGTGTCTTCTGGATGTGCCTAGCTCTGGTTTTCTGGCCCTTCCTTTCCAAGGTCTTGAGCTCCCCTACTTCAGGAAACTTCCTGTTTTAGTCACTGTCCTATTGCTGGGACAAAATGTTCCCCACGTACAATTTAAAGGAGGAGAGGTGGGGCTGGGAATTTAGCTCAACGGCACAGCGCCTGCCTGGTAAGCGCAAGGTCATGAGTTCAATTCCCAGTACAGGGAAAAAAAAAAAAGGAAGGAGGAGAAGTTCAATTTGGGTCACAGTCTCAGATAATTCAGCCCATGGTTAGCTGCTCCAGTGCTGAAACATCTTGGCAGAAGGGTCTAGCAGAAGAGAACTGCTCACTTCATGGCAACAGGAAGCAGAGAGAGAAGGGGGAAGCCAAGGACAAGAACATACTCTTTCAAGTCAATCCCAAGTGACTGTCCCTCTAATCCAGTCACTCACCCTCCACAAGCCCCACCTCTGAATGCATGAGACTCCTAGGTATAAACCATGACACTTGTCACCACAGAGATTTGCAGAAGCCAATTGTGGCTCATGCAAAGTTGTTCTGTACTTTCAGGAGCTGCTGGAACCCACCCAAAGAGAGAGGCTGTCACTGAAGAATTGGACACAAACATTTTCCATGCATTTCCTTCCTTATAGAAATTGCATAGTACACTGAACTTAGAATAAGCCAGTTTTATCTGTCAAGAAGGCTGGAATGAGCAAAGGCAAAGGAAAACCAGGAATATGCTCTTTCTCCTTACACTTTAACTCCAG